AYRMWTYSRAATTCGAACTCGACTCGGTTAATCCTTGCTTAGCTCAAATTTGTGAGTTAAAAAAGTATAGCCTTTGGAATATACAGGGATATAAATAATAATTGAGACGAATGGGAAATTAAATTAAAGAGATAGGTATGTGATAATATGCAGGGTGAAAGATTTTCAATAGGAATTCAACTTTCGTAAGCATTTTTTTTTTATTTTTTCATTTTTTCTTTTTTTTTATGTGATTGTAGACAAAAATTATTCCTCTAAGGGGAATAAAAATTTACATAAAGTTTCGAAAATGTAATATTTCCCTAAGTTGATCACTTTTTCCCTCTCTAAGGATCTTACTTCCTCTGTCATAATAAAATAAATAAATAAAAGATCTTTCTACGTTCCTATTTAAATAGTTCACCCTATACATATATATCTAACAAAGTACGTCCGAATAAAAAGACGAACGTAATAATGGCTCTAAAATCGACGCGCTAATCTCGAAGTGGTCGATAATATCTTCGAATATCTATAGTATGATGCATCGTTCGATGTTAAATTTAATGCTCTCCGTTTATTGGAAGCGCACAAGTTCTTCAAATTTGCAAACAATTTTCAATAGTAGTGTGTTGCGCTAATTATTTGATCAAAATCATTTTCCCTTTCATCACGCTGCGATCATTGTTTTTTTCTTTTCTTTTTTTTTTTTTTTAGAGACGTCACATATAACATTTTCGAGAGAAAGAAAAGGAAAAGAAAGATAGGATGAGATTAGATACTAATTTAGACGAACGAAAGGAAGAAAATGGGATGAACGTAAAGAGATCGTAGACAAACCAATTTTTTTTGTTTTCACGCTAATAAATGATGCAATATTTGCGACGTCAATGAAATTTCGTTTCTCGAATTAGCACATTTTTCTCGCCGATTCTACGATCCCCAATTTTCGACGTCCTCTATTAGAGAAAAATATTAGATAACTCGACGTGTATAGATCACAGCGAATGATCGATAATTGAACTTTGACGTTGTTGACAATTTTACGACGATAGGATAATTAACAGTGTGAAATGAAATGAAAGATGACAAATGAAATTGTATTTCATTCACGCTAGATTAACGAACCCACAACAGTGAAACATACCGAGACGATATTCGTATTGTTTAATGTGCTTCATATTATATGAAACATAAATTGATGTTTAAATGTATAGAAAGAACGAAAGAAAGAGAGAGCGAGAGAGAGAGAGAGAGAGAGAAACTCTTAGATCATAAGTTTTAATTCTTATCGTAGAATGCATTAAGAAAAAGGTTAATAATAAAAAAAAAAAAAAAGAAAGAAAGAGGAGCGTTTAGAGACACTAGATAAAAATCTAACTCTATTTGCGAATGCTTCTTCATATCATAGAACGTATAACGTCCTTTGTAATTCATCTTTTTGCTTCGAGCTATTCTCGTAGTTACGAGAAGAATATTCATTGTCGAAAAAGAGAAGAGATAGTTAGAAGAAGATGAAAATAATGTGCAAAATTTTCAATGAGAATTCAAACGGAAAAGCGACGAGTATTATCGATATATTATTATTCTAATACATTTTTGCTAGAAAACAAAATGTTCTAGTTTTGTAAATTAATTCGTCGCACCGTTTTCTCTATAATTTCAATCAAAAGTTTTTGCTAAAATAACCTCGCTCCTGGTATAAAATGCAGACTGTAGAAAGAAAAAAAAAAAAAAAATAAAAAGAGAGAAAGAAAGGGAGAGAGAGAAAGAGAGAGAGTAATAATTATATGCTAAATATGTACGAACGTGCAGAGGAATTTTAAAGGAAACATATCCATTGAGTCACCAACGCGGAGAAATATTTTTTCATTACCATTAGTGCTCACAATTTCAAAAAAGGGAGAAATAATATTATAATAATATATTATATATCTATATATTACGTGTATAAAAATACGTACATACATACATATATAAATGCGCATGTATTCACACAAACGCTACTTGCATTTTTCTCAAGATCGAGGTCGTATTTGCTGTGGTTTTCCTTCCTTCCATAAAAGAGAGAAAAATAAAAAAGTCGGAGAATGTAAGAGCGAAGGAAATAATATTATATGGAAAAGAAAAACTTTTCGTAATAAGTTTCGCACGATTTTTGCGGATACGTTGCGGACGGTGGAAATTAAAATAAGAAGCAATTATTTTCGAATGTAATGTAAATTCGTAAAATTGTAAGGAGCGTGCCTGACATATTTTAGGAAATTTTATCAGTGTAGAGAAGAAGAGAAAAGAGCTACGAAAAAGAAAAAAGAAAAGAAAAAGAAAAAGAAAAAAAAAACTAATAAGAAAACGAACAAAGGTGGTGGACTTTGTTTTTTTGTAATTTAGCATACGAGAAAAGTGCACGCTTATTGTTGCGATTATTGTCCTTTGTAATATCATAAGAGTAACAGAGAGAGAGAGAGAGAGAGAAAGGAAAAGATAAAAAAAAATAAATGTCGCGATTAGAGGTGCTTTTTTAGAAAGCGAATATGGATCGTTGATAAACATAGTCGAGGAAAATAAAATGGATGAAAGATAAGATGAAGATCTTTCGTTATTAGATCGCGAGATACCGCTTAGTTTTGTTCCAAAAATATCTCGGGCATGATAGGCTTTAGAGAGAGAGAGAGAGAGAGAGAGAGAGAGAAAAAAAAAAGAAAAAAAATAAGGAAAAAGAAAAAAAAAGAAAAAAAAAAAAGAAAAAGGAAATATAAAAGTTGGATTTCGATAGCGTGCAACGAGAAAGCCATCGTCGTCGCGAGATAATAAAAAGACATTAAATTAAAATAAAACATTCAAAAATTGCATTTAACCTTTTGCACTCGGGTGAACCAACAACTCAAAACGATTGTAGCAAATCGATTCTAGCACTCGAGTACAGAGGGTTAATTGATATCCAAATAAAACTCGACACGATTATAGGAAATTTAAAAAAATTATTAGGTAAATATATAATATACAATATATTATATAAAATAATACCGCGCTAACGCGAGAGACGGACTTTAGGACAACAAATGGAAGAGGAAAAAAAAGAATTTTTATCCTGTCGTTATATATTAATAAATATATCTATAAAGTATGTATATCCACGTGCTCGATACTTTTTGTTCGTTGATCGAACTCTTCCGAACTAATTTATCGATAATCGTGTATGATTTCGATCAAAAAAAAAAAAAAAAGAAAAGAAAAAAAAAGCAAAAGAACAAATAAAACAAAAAAAAAATTATCATAAGAAACGTTTGTAAAATTCATCGAAAACGAATGTCAAGGTAAAGCGTGTAAATAAATTCCTATAAATCTCTTCTCATTCATCGTCGTTAGAATTCGTTGAATTTTATGAGCCAACGTAATTGTCAAATAAAAAAAATCAATTTTTTGATCGTCGATTAATATATTAAAACTATCTATTATCATAATTCTAATGAAAAAAAAATAAGAGAAATAAAAAGGTAAAAAAACTTCAGCCATTACGATATATAATATATTCAATAACAAAATGTCTTCTTTAAACTGGAGAAATCATAGCCGTCTTTTTATCGAACTTTATCATATCACGAATGAAGCTTGAATGGTATCGTCTTCTAACGATTGAAAACAAAAATAAAATCATCTAATTAATCGTGTCTAAATTACGAAATTAATTATGATCTCTTACGATACTTGGAACAGTTATCAACGATATTTATACTTAAATACGTATAATGATTAATATACATGCATAAATACATACATCAAAGCATACGTATAATACAATATAAATATATTATATATAGTATATAATATCGAGAGAAAAAAAAAAAAAAAAAAAAAAATAAAAA